TTGTGGTTTGTCGAGGCATTAAACGAATATAAAGACAGTGCCAAGCAGTGAGAGGTCTGAAGTTTCTTAATTGAGTGATATCAACACAACACAGAGTGGATTCCCTTACCTGGGACCCATTACAATGGTGCCGTGACCTTTTAAGGATCCATCTGAAGATCAACGCCTGTTCGTTCGCCGTGGGAAGCTGCAGTGACTGGTTTTAGGTCTTTTTTTTTCTCAAGGACTGAAGGACTATTTTATATGAAGGTGGACTATTTTTCTCAGAAGACACCACCAATTTGAATTCATACTTTCAACCAATTAATTTGTTGATTAGCAAATTAACAGACTGATTACTGTTATCAATTTATGTTGTTCAGAACAATATTTTTGTTTTTTTATTATACTAAAGTTGAAGTTAATTGATTTGTTACAGCGTGGAAATATGGCAGAGGGTGTTAGTAGCTTTACTGATGAGGTGAATGACAATGTGATACTTGACCAAAGTAGCTGATTTGGTAGGGGAAGGGGTCTTTTCAGTATACCTTCTGAACCTAGGACACCAGGGTCTATTACCAGGGCCTTTGATACACCCGTTCTAACTTCTACAAGATATGTAGATCATGCCATGGCAAATCCTGCTAATCAAAATCCAGATTTGGGTTCACTCATCAATGAAATTGCTGAAAAATTGGGCCAGTCCATTACTGCTCAACTACGATCTGATAGAAGTACACATAGCAATAATTCGGAACAGCCAGCTGAGATGACACTGTCTAATGTCAAACTAGTGATGCAGTCAGATGTAAAAGAACCACTAATATTTAGGGGTGATGGTTCTGACAGACTCACTGTACAAGAGTGGGAAAATCTCATGTCTTTGTATCTAATAAAACGTGCTATTCCAATTCATGAGCAGTCACAAGAAATCCTGGATAGACTTATGGGGAAAGCAGGTGATTTAGTGAGAATTAAACTTCGTTAATACACATCTGTTGATCACTGCAAAAATCCACAATTGATTTTTGACATTTTAAAACAGCATTTCAGCACAATTACCTACTCTAGTATGCCCCTATCCGATTTTTACAATACTTTGCCGATGCCATCTGATGGAGTATTGGAGTATTGGATCAGGCTGAACAAGACTATGGATGTTGCGAAGGAATGCTTAGAGAGACAAGGTCGGCGCTCCAAGTCATCAAGTCATGAGATCAGTATGATGTTTATTAAGCATTGCCCAGATCAGTCTCTTTCAAATGTCTTCAAATTCAAATCAGCAGAAAAATGGTCGGCCTGTGAGATACAAGAGGCTTGATGAACATATGCAAGAATGGAAAGCTCAAACGTACGCAAAGTCACACAATTTGTATACAGCAGAGCATAGGGTTTGCACTCAAAGCTCAAATGTTATTGAGGCTTCTGCATCTAACCCCGCCTTGTCTGTTCCACCTTCTCCCTTAGCACAGTCTGGCAGTGACTCTGATTGCATGAAAAGCCGAGTCAGTCTGTTAGATCGTCTTGTCACTCAGCAGACCCAATTCCAAGCGAGCCCTCCTAATCCAGTTACGATGTTTCAGACTTACCGCAAACCATGCAGAGTTTGTAGATCCTTGGATCATTCAACAGTGTTTCATTGCAGACAGGAGAACAGATGTCTGAAGTGCTTAACTCCTGGTCATTGGAAAAAGGACTGCCCTCAGCGAGCTACTCATCGCCAACATCATTTGAACAGTGATGCTAGCGGACCATCTCACCAGTTAAACTAGATGGCCCACATCAGGGAAGGGGTGATGTGGGTATGGATGCTAATTCCCTTCATGAAGAGTGCGATCTTGCTCAGCTATATGAGGAGAGCCATAATAGTGCTCCTAAAGGGACCAGGATAATTGTTCAATCCAGTCAAGAAGTTGAAGCCTTCAGTAGTCTTTTCTATGTTCCTGTTCGCATGGTGGTCAGCATACCCAGCCCGAGGGTTTCTATGATTTGGAGATCCAATTCTTTGGCATCCAGTGTGTTGTCCCTTGTTTGGTCGTGCCTGGTCAGCGTGATGATCTTATTCTGGGCTCTAATATCATAAAACACTTGATTCATGAACTGAAGAGCAACAGTGATTATTGGGACATTGCTTCTAGACCTGACCATCTGCTTGACCGAGACATTCAGCAGTTCTTGTCAATGTTTACAGGTGTTGAACGTTGGAAAGGCGAAACTGTCCCTGATAAAATAGGCACTGTCAAACTCACTAAGGCAGTAGTACTTTTGCCAGAGCACGAACATTTGGTCTGGGGCCGTCTGCCACCTAATGTGCCCATGTCACCTGGCAGCACAGTAATTGTTGAGCCGACCAGTTCCAAAGCTATGCCTTGAGATATTCTGGTCGGTCGCCTTGTCACACCACTCTGGGGTGATAGGTGGGTGCCTGTGATAGTTGTAAATTCAACAAACAAAATGATCACATTGAAAAGAAACTCCAAACTGGCTGATGTGTCTCCATGTATTGCGTCTGAAGATTTTTAGATTTTTCAGGGTCTGCATATTACTTATAATTCCTTTCCTGTTAATCAGATTGACAAAAGTCTGCTGAAACTGGGCCTGGGTGACATTGACATTAATTGGAGTCAAATCAGTGATGATTGTAAATCTAAGTTAACCAAGTTACTAGCTGACTATCAAGACATCTTCAAACACTCATTGGACTGTGGTGATGCTAAAGGATACGTGCACCATATAGGGTTGACTGACGATCGACCCTTTCACTTGCCTTATAGGCGAGTGCCTCCTGCCCACTGTGAAAAATTAAGACAAGTTCTCACTGACATGGAAGAAAGAGGTATCATCAGAAAGTCTTCAAGCGAGTACGCATCACCATTAGTGATGGTGTGGAAGAAGGATGGTGGGTTGCATATTTGCACAGACTTCAGGTGGTTAAGCGCCAGAACCATAAAAGATGCTCACCCCTTGCCGCACCAGGCTGACTGCCTTGCTGCGCTTGGAGGAAATTGCTTCTTCAGCACAATGGACCTCACGTCAGGGTTTTATAATATCCTAATGAATGAGGAGGACAAGAAATATACGGCTTTCACAACACCTTTAGGCCTTCATGAATACAACCGTATTGCCACAAGGGCTTTGTAATAGTCCAGCTTCCTTCATGAGAATAATGCTTGGAATCTTCGGAGACATGAATTTTTCAAAGCTTTTGTGCTATCTTGATGATCTTCTGGTCTTTGCGCCATCAGAAAGCGAGGCTCTGTCCAGGCTGCGCACAGTGTTTCAGAGGCTAAGGGAGAACAATCTGAAACTGTCCCCTAAAAAATGCCATCTTCTTCAAAGACGAGTCAAATTCCTTGGCCATATCGTTGACAGTGGAGGTGTGTCTGTTGATCCAGCAAAAGTGGAGGTCATCACGAGGATAACAGCACAAGATCTGATGGACAATGATGGCTGTACACCGTCTGTCAAAAGAATAAAGTCTTTCCTTGCCATGGTATTTTATTACCAACACTTTATTCCCAACTGCTCATCTATCTCTAAACCTCTTTTCGGTCTTACAGCTGGACAGAAAAGAAGAGGAAAGTTGTCCAAGAATGGGACATTTCAGGGCACTTACCGTAAACTTGCCCCTTCAGATTGGACAACCGAGTGTCAGGTAGCTTTTGACCAACTCAAGGCTGCCTTACTGGAAAGTGCCATGCTTGCTCATCCTGATTTCGATGAGCCCTTAATTCTTTCTGTTGATGCCTCATTGGACGGCTTAGGGGCTGTATTGTCGCAAGTGCCCAAAGGGGAACTCCTTGCCAGACCGATTGCTTTCTCAAGCAAGACCCTCAGTGCATCACAGCGCAAATATCCAGCTCACAGACTGGAATGTATGGCTGTAAAGTTGAGTGTATGTGAGAAGTTCAGCCATTGGCTAAAAGGCCACAAATTCACCATCTGGACCGATAATAACCCTCTCACTTACCTCCTAACTAAGCCAAAACTTGATGCATATGAGTTGAGATGGGTTTCAAAACTTGCATCATACACGTTCGACCTGAAACATTTGCCCGGAAAAACGAATGTGGTAGCAGACGCTTTGAGCCATGACCCCTTTGTTAAGACGATTGGGCAGAGACTGTTGAATGAACCGTATTCTTCGTTAATGTGGGAGGCCAGTGGAGCGAGCGAAGACTGTGTTCACTATGTTTTCAGGCTCAGTAGCCAAGTTCAGTTCAATCAGCCCATGAGGAGTTTTTCACAAGGAGCAGGCTTTGACATGGATGAAATCAGAGCTCTTTGTCAGTCTCACTGCAGTTGGACAGATGGAGCAGAGTCCAGAGCCCTTCATTTAGTCCACCATGTTCAGAAGATTTCAGGTTGCCAGGAAACTTTACCAGTGTTCTCTGCCCAGGAGCTTAGACAAAGCCAACAGGAAGACCCAACAATAGCCAAAGTGTTGTCATTTCTGACTAAACAGAGACGTCCATCGAGAAGAGAAAGACATGGTGCAAGTGCGCAAGTGCTGAGACTGTTAAAACAGTGGAATAAGCTGGAAGTTAGAGATGATGTGATGTACAGAGTGACGAAAGATCCTTTGTCTAAGAAGAAAAGATTCCAGTATGTGCTGCCTGGTAGTCTGAAAAACAAAGCTCTTTCTGGTATTCATGACCTTGCAGGCCATCAAGGGAAGGACCGCACTCTCTCACTTGCGAGACAGCGTTTTTATTGGCCTGACATGGAAAAGAACATAAGAGAATATGTGAAATGCTGCAAAAGGTGTTTTTGCGAAGTCCCCAGAACCTTCTGCTCATGCCCCTTTGGAGAACATTAAGAGCTCGGCCCCAATGGAGTTAGTGTGCATAGATTTCTGGTCGGCAGAAGACGGTAAACTGCATTCAGTGGATGTCCTCGTAGTTATCGACCATTTTACTAAACTCACTCATGCATTCCCTTGCACTAGGGATGGAACGATTACCGGTTTCATGATAAATCGCGATAAAATGCACTGACGGTTAGTATTACCGTTTAAAATTTAATTATCATAAAAAACGTATTTGATTATCACACTTTTGAAAACTTGCGGTAAATCCTGTCCAGCCAGCATCAGTCTGACGCAGAAGC